CTGGTGATCTAAATCCGACACAAGGATATAGAGTACCTTCCAAATCATCAGGCAGATTGCAAGCAATTCCTTGAAATAAGGTATAAAATATTAATTCTTACCAAAGCTTTGGAAACGATAAAATTCATTGTTAAAGTAATATTTACCAAGATTTATTCCGTTTCTTGTATAAAATACTAGCTTGTTTCTGAAATTTAAATAGCATCCAATAGTATCACCAGTAGTATATGATGGCCCATATGGCTCGCTACTTCCGGAACAAAATGAATATCCATCATCACCATGGTAACCCCAAGAATTATTTTCTTGCCCTAAATATATTATAACAAAAGTATTGATCTATTGTTCTTACAAAAAAAAGAACACTAATTCCTATTACCAGGCATTGCCATGATATCTATATTTTCTGTTTTTTTATCTTGATCGGTTGTCTTTGTGCAAAATCCGATTCCAATCATTCTTTTAAGGGATTGAATTATATTAAAATAAATTACGAATAAAAATTCCAATACAATTAATTTCTCCAAGTGCATCTCGATCAGATTGTTATTGTGCTTAGAGAAATAAAACATTCGTATTTAAAGAGACAAGACATAGCTGCACTTAGAGTTGACTGTTGTCATATTACCCGTTTTTTCCACTGTCGATAATATTAACTTCAAAATAAAAAAATTTGCACTGTGAAGGAATCGGATTATTCGCTCGAATTATAGCCGCAACTTTGCCATCATCTAGTCCGTTTATTTTAAAAAATTAATAAGTCATGTAACCTTTAATGCATTCAAAATATCCAAACTCATTAAATATTTAAGTGAAATCTTGTTAAAATATAAATAATTTGAAAAAATAAATTTTTAAACTTTTGAGACCATCTCACCTAAATATTTGACTTTAAGTCCATCTATGCTTAAAAATGATGATTCGAGGTCCCATGCGGTCGGCAAAATAGCATCTTTATATAATTTTAATTCGTTCATCAGATTAAATGTCTTATAAAATTTTTTTTCTTGATTGTAAAGAATTTTGTTTATAGCGATAACCTACGTACTGTACGTACGTATCGCAAAATTGAATTGTATAATTGCATTTGATTGGTAGATCATTTTTTAATTATATGAAACCCTTGTGAAACTATTTTAACCACGTGCGCGTTATTCCATGGGCGTTATTTCGAGATTAAGTATTGCAAATATCGGATATGCTACTGATATGCTATATTTGGCGGTAAATCAGGAGCTTATCGGGAGTTTGTGATATTTACCTGATACTTGCTCTATGCTACGTATTTTTAGGGACCTGCCCGCTATTTCGAGAATTTAGGTATATGGTTTTTTTTAGTGAATATAATCATAAATACTATTTGATTACTACTCAATTTTACTAATCACAAAATTCCGAATTTTAGGAAAAAATCCTTATACGTATAGGCCAAAATTTCCAATTTCAGCAATTTTTATTATGAATACAAAATTTTTAAACCAATCATATGCAAGATTAAAGTGATACGTATTCCTTATGATTTGCTTATCAGTTTTTTATATAGTTTACAGGTCTTATCAGTTTTTATATAGTTTTATATAAATTTTAATAATCACAATGTTCCGACTGGACCTACTGTTTTTGTGTAACATTCCTAAATGATATGTATCACTATATTGTATTACTCGCGCAAATAAGTGCACTCTATTACGTCTGTCAACTAGTTAATAATATAACTTTAAGATGATAATATTTACAAAATTAACAAAAACTTGTTGGAATTTTTTCAACCTTCATAAATTGAAATTATTTGGAGGAGCAATTATACTGTTTTTACTCACCAGCCTATTGCTCTTAAAAATGAATGACATAAGCAGTCAAGAAATCAAACCTGAGACCATAAAATTAGCATCAACACCTTTCTCATCTGAATATCTACCTTCTTCCTGTGAACATCTTCCATCTTTTATAAAAACAAACACATCTCATCGTGAATTTTATATTACAAGCCCAAAGTCCCGTGAATTGACAATTTTTCACTGGTTCTCCTTAACATTTTCAAATATCAACGTATCATGGGAGACTATTTCTCAAGATCTCTGTCCTTATCCACCAGAACTTTATACTTTTTTCCAACGGATATTTGAAAAATTTGCTCGTAAAAGTGTTCCTGGTCTGACTGAATGGCCTAAAGGCTATGCACCATGTTGGCTTTGGTCCAAGAATGATGAATGGGGGACTTGTGCTAATGGTGCAAAGTATCGCCTAACTACTAATTACACTCAATGGCGAGATGTTGACATAATATATTTTGACTATCCATTCTTTTTAAAGATAGATGAACCTCCCTATTATGATATGAAACAAATGCCCCCTCACAAAGCTGGACAAGTTTGGTGGTTTCGGTTCTCAGATGAAGGATTAGGTTATTATTGGTTCGTTGGTCTTGGGAATTTTCTTAATTTGTTCGATATGACCATGGGTTCTCCTGCTGATTTCTTTGACATCTTCCAACCGGCATATGGAATATATAAAGGTCATATTCCCAAATTTTATGAATCTCATATAACATTTAATGAAAAAAAAAATGATGTTTTAATTTCCTGGATGGTTGGGAATTGTGATCCTGTGAATAATCGTAGTGATTATGCTTATGAACTAATGCAGCATATAACAGTTGACTCATTTGGATATTGTCTCCATAATAAAGAATTACCAGATCAAATTCGTGAGAAATATGGTATTAAAAAAAATGGTGATACTGCATATTATTCAACCAATATGTATGATGTAAAAATAGATGTTCTCTCTCCATATAAATTTCATCTTGCTTTCGAAAATTCAAATTGTAAAGGTTATGTCACTGAAAAAGTTTATGATTCTTTCTTAGGTGATTCTATCCCTATTTATATGGGTGCACCTGATATTGATGATTATGTTCCTCCACATTCAATTATAAAAGTTACTGATTTTGAAAATGTTGAAGACCTCGTTAAATACATTTATAAGGTAGCAAATAATCAAACATTATATGAGAGTTATTTCGAGTGGAAAAAAGATAAGACTTATGAGAATTTCTGTAAGCTTTGTCGTCAGACTGAAGAACAAACAATTTGTAGGTTCTTTGATAGGGCTTTATGGGTCTGATTATGGATGTAAGATATAGTAATAATCTAACCTTATATTAGAAACTAGCCTTTAACGTTAATCTATTTTACTGAAAGCAAAAAAACTTTCTTTAATTAATTATAACACTAATGAATACCTATTATTTGAGATTTTTATTATAGAAATGTAATATTTAAAAAATATATATGTATATATGTATACTATAGATTAACAAAAAAAAACCACTTTTTTATGTTAGAATATATTGTCTATTGTACTATTAAGTGAAATTTCTAATAGATAAATGTGTAGATTGCAAGACCGAAATGTAGACAGATTATATTGGGTTAGATTAAGGAACATTAACGTTAGTTTATGCCAAAATTATAAGAAATTTTTTTTCTTAGAGCGCTAAAGATAGTTTCATAGCCGAAATTTTTTTTAAGTTTGATGGGTTTACTAATTTCTCCCTCAACTTCCCATTGGACGAAACAAATTACATCACTGATTAGGGTGGCTAAAAATTTCATGTAGCCATCTAATGCGCCGCAATCAAAGAATAAATTACTTCTCAAATATTATTTCGCAATGATTACATATTTTTTTTTAATATAATTCTTTTCCGAATATTACTATAAAATTTACCATATCATGAAAATTTTAAGTCATAATGCTATACGAAAATCCAAAAACGAAATAAAATAAGTGGTGTTTTTTTTTCTTGTTTTTGAAAATTTACCAACTATTTAGCAGTAACGTTAGATCAGTGTATAAATTTTAATTAATGAAAATTAGTTCAGCCGGTCAATCAGTATTACTAATTAGCAAACTAGCATCTATTACAGTATTGTATCAGGGTTATTGTACGATTTCCGAAAGCTATTTTCTCGAAAGAACATAATACCGACTAATTATTTCATTTCTAGCAGAAAGAATTCTGAAGTGCGGCTGTGCTAAGGTGGCGTGATCTAGTTTATCCAATTAAAGACGGGAGAACGGTGATTTTCTGTGGTGATTAAAACTAAATTTTGTATGTGGTTAAGAGTGATAATTTTTACCCAATTTCTGTTATTTTATAATTTCTGTGTAGTTATGTGATGTTATTCTTTAATTTCTGTGGTTTGATGCGTTTATCTAAACATATAATTCCAGTAACTCCCTGACAAACATGCTCGTAATTTATGTTGATTTATTGTCTACCTTTCCGGAATTTCCAGCGTCGACGCGAATTTGTGGTCAAGTGCCGCAATATTTTAGAAACTGTGATATTCTGCACTATGCTTTTAGAATTCTGTGACTTTTTAGAATTTTGTGGTATTCTGTGGTGACTAAGGGTGATTTCTACAGTTTGCTGTGTTTAAGAGGAATTTTGTGGTTTTCTGTGAATCACAGAAAATCACCGTCCCTGGTCCAGCTCCCATTTTGATAGTATATTCGTGTAACTAAATTATTTAATTTATATAGACAGTTTGACCAGAAACTCCTTAACAAATTTTTTGGTCGAACAAATTCAATTTGACCAACTCTGCACATACCAGTAAGCCTAAATTAATTAAACATTAAAACGCGGTGAAGCAATAAAAAGACTCTATTAGCCGGGAGGCGCGAATAATGACCGGTTTGATATCGAATAATTTATAACAATCTGCTTTAACTATCAATCAAAAGTACTCGTATACCTCTGATTCTCACTCAGATCACTTTATTGGAAGAAAATCGCATGAATGGTGTCCTCCGTCGCAGGTCACATAAGTTACAAAATACAAGTTGAATCATGGTTAGCACAGTCACATTTTCCCAAGATAAAACAAGTTGTTAACCTTTGAGAGGATGTCCACGCGTAGTGTTCTCACGGGATTGAAGTTTGGTTAGAATAAATTAAATTTATTCAAAGTTTTTTTTATAACTTGTCTTGATATTTTAAGCATGAACATTTAGGGTATAATTTAACGTGCCGTATATATTTATATATTTATTTTTTAAATATGTAATAGTTTGTACAAGTTTGGACTTGGGCAGGACAATCGCGAAAGGCTTCGTCACAAAAAACGTACAACACATCCTACACGAAGATGCGATCATATCGTTCTGGCATCACTCGTTCTCCATTATCACAATTTCGTTGACTATCACTAGTGATCGAATTTTATGGCTCTAAATTTTCATTGACTTAGCCGCTTAGCTAACGATTAGTGATTGAAAGCTATATCACATTTATTTAAATAGAGTTTCTTAAGATTTAAATTTTAGTGAGTTTATCGTTAACAATTAACTAGCATAGCATATTAAAATTTGTCAATTTAGAAAATTATACATCAAAAAAGTAAAATAATTAAAAATAATTGATAAACAATAGAAGCTTTTAATTGTGCTATCAAAACAACGAATATATTTAAAATTGAATGATTCTATATTATTCATTGACTTTAACGTGAGAGAATATTATCTTTGAGATACTATAAGCAATGTGAGCAATATATCCAGATAAAATAAGAAATTCGTATATAATGGTGAATACGGTGTATACATTAGATTATAAATCAATTATTCAGAATATTTATATTTTTCAAAATATATTTCCTACATTAAAATCACATTTATTAATTCTCTTTTATTATCCAAAACAACTTTTAAATGTCTTCTATAATGTTGCTCATGATCTTTACATTCAACTTCATCCTCATTTTCGCAAAAGAAATTTTGATTTCTCAACTTTGGTAAATAAAGTTCGTAAGCTGGCATATATCTATCAATAAAATCTATAACCTGCTCATCCGTCATCCCTCCTTTTCCTAAATTTCTCATATTTCTTTCTTGTTCTAATCTCCATTGATATACGTAATTAATATCTTGTGCATCAATATGAACAAATATATCAAGAAACTTATACCATTCCTTCTCATAAATTTGCAAATTTCCATTTATAGATGACAGATGAGAAAGGGAGTGAGATATAAGTTTCAAAGCAGAGTAATTATGTTCAGTTGTAAACGATTTTGATGAAAAATAAATTTTTTCAAGTTGAGATTTAGATAAATTTTTAAATCCAAGTGACCATCCCTCGAAAAGAATAATTTCAAATGGTGGAGATACTTTAATCCATTTATCAACTTCTGCACGGTCTCCCCGACCATTATTCAAGGATTTATCATAAAATGGTATTAGTACATCATCAACATCAGCATCATTACTTTCGTTGAGATGATTAGCATCTCCATCTTTAAGATTATTAAGTAATCCTTTTTTTTGAAAATAAATTTCATGCACTTTACATAATCTGCTTAAAACCTCCTTTCCTAATGCGATATCATGAGTCCCAGGTTCTCCTCTAAATTCCAAAAGTTTGTTACCAGGATTTGAAAGTGCGAGTTGACATTGTTCTTTAAATGTTAAGTAGAAATCGTCAATCGAACAACCAACTACCGATAGATTATTGGAATTTTTTAAATGCTGTACAATCTGACTAACTAATGTCGTTTTTCCTATGCGTATGTATTAATCGTAATAAGATAAATTAGCATTAATGCTTATCGAATATGTTATTGAAATTAAAATATTCACCGCATCCTTGAGGTCCACTTATACCAACAATTAAAGGCATTGATGTTAATTTTGGTATCCTACGTAAATTGTGAAAATTTTTTACAATAAAATTTGATATAGAACAGACTTTTGGTGATGAATTCATTGTTGGTCTTGCCCTTTTTTCCAAGTGTTTTCAAAAATTATTATTGTTATACAATTATTATCGTTATACAAACATTTAAAATCTATTTTATTATTTTATTGGTGTCAATCCCTGAAATTTCATTGGCTGCTTATTGCAGACGCAGTCACAACCCTACGATAAATCTGTGATAAATTTTTTTAATGTTAATCCTTTTATCTGCAAATTTATTATTTACTATTTTTAAAAAATGATTAACAATCAACGAAATTTTAACGCCTGTTATTTTGTTACATTTACTACAGTCAACACACGATAATCCGAAACCTTTGGATTTTTATGTCACATCAACTTAGGAAAGTTTCGGATGAACGAAAATTCAAATAATGTATGTTTAACCGTGTTATATAAAATCTCATACACGGACATCCAAATTTGATCCGGTACTGGCTCTTAGGATCCGGGCATCAAACTCTGAGATCTTTCTTCTAAGGTCGGGGATCTCAGCGAGCTTTCTTCTAAGATCAGGGATCTCAGTATTCTCCTTCCTAAGCTCTGCATTCTCAGCCTCAAGTTCAGTGATACGTTGTCTCAATAATTCAGGCTCCGATGACATGATTGATGAAAATTTTTATATAAGGCACCGATTTATTCAAAAAATAAAAAAATCACGTGCGCGTTCCATTTCGGAACGCGGATCACTTTGCCAAGAAAAATTCTCGATCATATATGAGTAATGTATATTGATAATAATACAATAAAATAAAATTCACGCAAAAGTAAACTGATTATTTATGTGAAATTGAGCCACCAGGGCCAGCTTTATTATAAAAAATAAAATGCAAGAAAACTTTCTTTATTGATATAATAAAAAATACATGATACAGTAATAGTATAATATCTAATCTGAATCAGAATCAACGGTTGAACTATTTTCTTTTTGTCTTTCTGACTTGGGTAAAGACCCGTGAGGTATCAATGTCATGTTAACTATTAAAATATTACGGAGTATCAATAAAGTTTTTATAAACTCCGCCACTATACGAGAATCTGAATATTGGACGGGAATTTCTGACTCATGTGATAATACCGATCTACACTGGCACTATCCCTAATAAGTACCGTTAATCGTAACAGAGGTCCTGCGACTTGTAATCCGATTATCCCAAATTCATCTTTCTCAGGTCTACAACCTTTGTAGACCCAATACATACCGTTGTTTGTTTCGCGCCATAACTTTACGGCATCATCATCTATCTTCTGAGAGGTACAAAACAAACGTGAGCACTTACTATACATAAGCTCATATTTTTTACCTTTATTTTTCATAACGAATAATATATCCGGCCATCTCCACGATCGCCCTTCTCCCCTTCTATCCGCGCTGGCAATGCTTTGTCACTCAAAACTATAAAAGATATAAAAAGTTCATATCAAGCATAAAATATTAGTTCGATATTATTTAACTTATGTGCTAATATAGCAGTTCTTTCCATAGGGAAGATTCTTTAATGAAGCTTGGATTGCGGGTACTATCATGTTAGTTACATATGTCCCTCATTTAGCGACTCAGCATGTTCTGGGCCAAATGCTGGATTATTCCAAGAGTTATTCCTAAAAAAGAATAGATTAATAGAATAGATCATAATTAACATTATAGAGATTACCAAATTTCTTACAATGTTTCCAAGATCCTACTCGTGACTTCAGCTAACTTTTCGTCTGACTCCTTCCATTTTCCATCATGTATAAGCGCCTGAGATAACTGAGTATGACCAGAAGTAATGAAATTCCTTACAAATTCACCACATCTATTTTCTATGATTGGCAGAAGAGATTCAGGCACCATGTTTGGAACTACTTTCTAATGACAGAATGTGTTAGAATACTATTCATGTTCTTTAAATCGTCATTCAATGCCTACCATAAAAGATTTATGCGAGTCGGGAGACAAATTTTGTACTATATCCGAATAGTCAGAAATAACTTGACTTCCCAACAGATCCTTCCAAGTTAATTTTGATACAGGTACTTTATTTACAGCCGAAAATAAATCCTGATATAGTACGTTCTCATTCCATTTCTTTTTTAACTTCGATTTCAACTTATTGATATTTTTCTGAATTTGTTCTGAAGTGAGAGGCTTTTCGTCATTTACTTTTACAATTCCAAGAGCACAAAAACTATTGACTGTTTTGTATAAAACATCAAACTAAAACAGACAATGAAATGAATTAGTTTCTATTTGTACAAACTAGATTATTTTTTAATAGCGCATGCGCTGTCAGAATGTAATCAAGATTCCACTTTTGTGAGGTTAGCTACTCCATCACAGAAATGAAATCTTGTGTGATGCTAATAACAACATAAAATTGAGCATGTATTTATAGCCTAAAGAACCCTCCCACTGTCGAGGAAAAATCCTGTTGGCAGGCTATAGAGAATTTAAGCTATTATACTCTCTTTCTCAGTGGCATCACTGTTTGCGTAAACATCATCCAATACAACTTATATATTTATAAAAATTTGCTATCTCACCTCTGGGATAATATCACAAAGTATTCCGTATTGCAAGGAACCCTGAATACTTCTCTTTTTAGCAAATGATACCGCCTTTTTTATAATATCTTTTAATTCATCTTTTTCTACCCATGGATTGTCTTCTATAGCTTTATAGATGACCGATCCTGAGGTTATTTGCTGTTCTTCTGCATTAACTAAGAAATTATGAAGTTTTGTTTGTAACTCGGTAGACATGATTAAAAAAAGCACAGAAAAATAATAGATGTTTTTATTAATGTGTATAGTAAAAGCAATAAAGAAAATTTAATAAAGAGATAAATAATCACAAACTTTAAGATACTGCCCTTTTATATATTTTTCTTATCTCTTCTCCAAAACTCGAAATGTTAGAAAGGTTAGGCGGAAGTCAAAACATGTGCTCTTACAGCAAAAAATTTCTACGATAGAAGTTGGGGCATGTATTCCACGCTTCATAGACAGATATTCGTCTGATTGGCTGATGTAAATCAATTGCCAGGTAACTTATTTATACAGTTTAAAGTACTTTTTGAAAACGTTTCACTACAGCACTAATAAAAAATCACTGCAAAAGCCATTTTTCGCTTCGTAAGAACGTTTATATTTACTATGAAAAAATAATCAAAAATAATCAGTAACTACAAAAACTTCACTTAGAAGTGAATTTTTCTATATATTATATAATAGTTATTATATATAACTATATATAAGCACTATATATAGTTGAATTCCAAAAAACGGCCCACTAAAAGGCGGACAAGAGGCTCTAATATAAGTTTCAGTAAAGAGCTTTGTATTTACCTTTTAACTATGCTACTATTAAGC